AAAAAAAAAAAAGGGAGCCACAGCAAACAGTAAACAAACAAAAGAACATGAATTCAAACACGAGCCAAAGCGAACAGCAAATTCACTCGTATACACATACGAACGGTTTTTTACACGGAGTATACAAATGTTGTACATACAAAAGACCCAATTGTACGTAGTGATTGAACTTAAAATGAGGTGAAACACTCGTGATCGGAGGAGTTAGTATCGTCACAAGGAGAATGGTTGTGTCGGCCTTCATAGGTTGTTATAACCATCCGGCAATCTTCTGACAGCCTCTCGACTCTTTTCTTGACTCGACAGTTGCTATATGTGCATCTGTAGTAACTTCTGCAAATACATCAAAATTAATCGAGCCTAGTTCATGAGCGATCGGCTAATGTACGTCAACTATATAAGAAAGAAAATTTCAAGAGCTAGCTAGAATGTTAAATACAACAAGTAGAATCAAACAATTGTTACCTAGGATGAAGGCTGTTCTTGACAACTTTCTGGCCATATTTCCTCCATTTGTAGCCATCATCAAGCACATCCACATCACTCCTTGTCTGAAAACAAAATCTTGGCTCTCTTAGCTTTCTCCTTATCTTTAATTTGCTCTTCTCTGATGATGATGAATTACAATTCCTCCACCTGCAGATAGCAGTTATATATTAATATTTATACATTTTCCAAAAAACAAATTATTATTACCAAATAAAAAGAGAGAGACCATGCATATATAAGATCAGGAGTTATTCACTACTCACATGTATATACATATCTTGTTTTACATATTAATTCAACAATAATATTAAACTAATTAAACAGCAAATTAAAGCCAATAATTAATTAGTAGCTAGCATAAACTGGGAAATAAAATTGATAAACAATTATATATATACATATAATTATATATCTGAGTGCAATAACTTAAATAAAATTGATAAACAATTATATATATACATATAATTATATAAGATGTATATATATATAGTGGAAACAGCACTAGTCCTTTCTCATACCTCACAATAGTTCATCACACTCAAAATTTACTGTCATGCACTATAAACATATGGGAGATGCTACAGTCCCGTTACGGCACCATTCCGTCGGGTTTGTAACCGTTAGATCATCTTGTAACCGTCGGAGATAGTTGATCTAACGGTTACAAACCCTGACGGAATGGTTCCGTAACGGGACCTTAGCATTTTCCTAAACATATATAAACACCTCCCTATCTAATCAATTAATTAAAAAAAATCTTTTAGGGTTTCATAAATACTCATTTATGTGTGTGTGTGTGTGCGTGTGAGATATATACATATATATTTTGATGATCATATATAGTATAATTCATACCATGAATTGGTTGCACTGATCTCGCTAATATTGTTATTAGCACCGCAATTTTCATCATCATCATCATCATCATGATTAACATGATGAGCCTTGCAAACTTCTTCTGCTCCTTCCCCAACCTAATTACAAATATTATTTTCTCCATTTAATTACATACTTTTATTTAATCACAAAAAAATAATAATAATAATAATAAAAATGAAATTAGAAAGATCTTAATTAGAATTGAAGCAATAAGTACTAATTAACAAGAATGATAGAAACTAATTAAATAAAATTAGCTGGCTACCTATAATCTCAACCAATAATAATAATTCAATCCAATAATCATCAGTAAACAAGAAAAGTACGTATTAGAGAGAGAGAGAAGTAAACAGTACCTGCAGGTTGTTACTCCAAGAAGTAGTTGTGTTCAGAAGCCCATTTGGATTTGGATTATTATTGAACCCTAAGGAGCCATTATTATTACAGGCGCCAGCAGCTGTCTTAACAGCTGCGCCGGCGCCGCCCATGGTCGCCGCCTCCGGAGGCGGCACCAAGAAGCTGAGGACTTGATTGTGATGATCCTCAAACTGTACAAAACCCACCATTTCTTGATGATTATGAGCAGAAAAGGAGATTTGAAGCTGCTGCTGCTGATGATGATGATCATAAATAGGTGGCAGTGGCAACCCTCTTGAGCCCTCCATTTATTTTTTTACAGTTCGAAATAAACATAAATTTGATGATGATGAATTGAAGAAAGTATACAAATTTCTTCTTCAGACAGATATTTGTTGTTGCATGTTTCACACTAGTACAAGATAGCTTTTAGGGTCTCTAGGATATATATAAATATATATATTTTATTTATTTATAGGGCAATATTAATAATTATATAAATATTATTATTATTATTATTATTATTATGATGACATCCATTTTGTTGTTATTATTATTTATGAAGAAGAATATGGCTGGTTTTTGTTTTCTTTTGGTCAACAAGTAAACGGTGGATGGAATATTTGTAGGCAGTGAAATCTAATACAAAGATTATTTGATGAGTGCTGCCTCTGCCACTTTTCTCTCTTCTGTGTTGGACTATAATTTTTTCATGACATATATATATATCAAATATTAATATTTCCTACTTTGATGATTTTTTTTAAAGGTTTGTGATAAATATTACATCAAGTAAGAGGAATAAAGCTAACCAAAAAAAAAAAAA